ACGTAGATCAGCATAATTTCTGTAACGGGCCGCGAGAAATCAAGGTGCGTCGCGTTCCTGAATCGCCGAAGAAAGGCAATTGCAACAACGAGAAGGAGCGGCGAGTAAATATCGGCTCGACGACTCGCAAAAGAAAAATGCATGACACGTCGCGTATATTATCGCGACAGTCGGTACACGTGAAAATACATGTGACTGGAGTTGCCGCGTAGAGTCTAAGGTTTTCGGGATGGGTAACGTCTCGAGGGGAACACGAGGACTCGAGGAGACGGGTATCCGAGGGTGGGGTCGGGGTGTAGGGGCGCGGTAGAGCACGAGGTGGGGTGAGACGGGGCGAAGAGCGCGGCGGAACGGAGTGAGAAGGGAAAGGGGAGATGGCCGACCACGCGCGATCAATATACCAAAATACGCCGGCAATCCGCGCGCACATACATACGTGTACGCTTGCGCGCGCGCGCGCTTGCGCTTGTATTCACGTACATCCTCGAACTCTGTCAATATATGCCCTCACGTATGCAAATTGTAAATATAATCTAAGCGAGCCGTGTATTCGCCGACTGCTGCATGCGCGCGTACGAATTGTAAATGTAAAACATGTTCGCACGCGTTACATATTGGCGCAGTCAATGAATACATCGCTTTCGAGAGCGTTCTAGGATATCTGTAAAGAAATGTAAGATAGGATCTTGTTAAATGTAAGTAATGGAATACGACATATCGTACGATTCTGTGGGATACAGATCTCTCCAAGTATATGTATTTTATTAGTATAGTCGAAAGATCGTATTATATATATATAATCAATGATCAGTAAAATTACATTGCATTTCAAGATTGTTCTACATGATTAGATTGATGAAGATTATTCAAAAAGTTACCCAAATGAAACATATAAACTGTTTTAAACGTCTGAAAATAATTCTAGAACAAATACCTAGTTTAAAATGCTCGATGTCTGTGCATATCGTTGAATAAAATGTATTACTCATCAAAAAACTTGCACCACGTAATGGAAAATTCTATGAATTAGTTGTGCAATCTTATATATTAACTTAAATTGTCATACTCTTCGACGACTCCTTTAGTCAAACGCGAAATTTCGAATGCAAAGTTCAATAGCTTGATCAAGCCCATCCCTTTTCAAATAAATATTCTTTTCAGATCTTCAATATAGAAGCAGCGTGCGCCATTACACAGTCATATTTGTAAACATGTACGTGTAATAGAAATAGAAATAGCCGGTCATTTCATTCATAAAACCAGTCGAAGTCGCGACGCGATCAACGATGGGAGAGACTGTAGGAGGATTCGAGGTCAGCATTCCCCGCGGTGGCGACAATTTTAAAGGAGGATAAGGAGATATCGTCTTTCGCCTGTGTGTATATCGTCGTGCCGATAGCAGCGGAGGTCAGCAGCATAACGCACGGCAACGGCGTTCGCCATTTCTCAAAGCCACAAATGCTAATCAGCGGACGATCATAAGAACTGTGGTGTTAAAAAAAACTTAAGCAGTATATATCTCTACCAATCACATTCTTTGCAACCTAGAAAATAATGAATTTGCTTACTGCTTAAATTTTCTTATGTTCCGCACAGTTCTACCATTAATGTTTCATTCGTCGTACAAGGTTTTTGTATATATTGATTTATAGTAAAAATAATATAAAGAATTTTGGAATTTTAGAAATTATGTATCCAATAAGCAAGCAGAACATTGAAAGAAATTATTGTACATATTTTAAGCTCTTCATACGTTCCCGACCTAAGTCCGACATCGAGTTGAGTCAAGTCGCATCGTGCTACGCCGCTGGACGAGCGAAAAGCATTCGCCAGCTGGCACACGAAGCGTGTAGTGCCGCTGGCAACGCAAACGTTTACCACCGCGTGTTTCGAGGGGAGAAATTTATAGTTAGGACGATCGAGGCTAGTGTCCGTACTGAAAACATCGAAGGAAACGCGCACAGCCGCTTCCAAACTTCCACCAATTTTTTCCACATGTAATGTCATGGCAAAAATGATGATCTATTTTTAAAAAATGTATACTTTCCCTCGATAAGTTAACGCCAGAATGGCCATAACATCCCTTTCAATGAAAAGTGAAATCTTTTCAGACTGGAAAATGGATTGATTACGAAATATTGTGATGTAATTGTATATTCATCGAGTTAAACTCCATTAGCCGATAAATCGCAAGTAGATAAATTTACATGATTCGATATATTAGCATAGATATGTATATATTCCAGTTTTCACTTTAATAAAATATTCAAACAATTCATAAAAATTCGTATTGATCCACTGATCTCTGAAAGTTTATTTTTTAATATGATAAATAACTTAATGCGATGTATAATGTTTTTTCTTCATTAGTAAGAGTCTTAAGTTCACACTAACATTTGTGTTCAGTTATCGAATATTTTGTATCCGCCGAATGAGAATCTCTGTCGGTGTCACCGTTATTCCTAGTTGTGCATGCCAGTGCACTTCGATAATTATTTTTATTTTATGTGCATAGATTATCTTATGGTTTTACAATTCAGTTTTTATCTGCAAAATATTAATAATAAAGAAAAACATTGTATTGTTGCATCAAATTATCTATCACATAACTAGTTAAAAAATAAATTTTCAGAAATAAAAATAGACGAGTTGTATACAGGATACAAAATTTAACGGAGAAAGAATAATTTATCCTTCTAAGAAATAAAATTATGTAAAAGTATATAATTCTAATTTTTATTTTTATAAGATGTCATATATTTTGATAAAATAACGTCAAGCAAATGTCTTACATTTCATTATTACTTATTATTAAATATTTAATGTCATTATACGTTTATTTTTATACCAATCGAAACATTTAAGAAAATGTTCAAAAGGTATTAATAAACGGTATTTCATCAGTTGCTTTTCTCAAATCAGTTATTTGCCTTGTGCAGATTCACAAGCAAAAATCGAATTAAAAAGGTAGCTTAAAAATGAAGTTTTGAAATGATTGAAAATATCTTCCATAATGCAATTTCAGATTTAAGAAATAGATTTTAACCGATGAAGCACATATAGAAACTGTATGTTTAGTTTAAATTGCATGTACTTTCTTTTTATATTCCATATCCCCGACTTGAGCGTCACTAGAGGACAATGATTCCGCTGCAAGCACGAGAGCCAAGTAATGTCACCGATCTCTTAGACCGAAATATCTAAACTTTTTAGTTTACAAACAAAACATAAGTCTCATTCGTCCCACCCTATTGCGTTTGTTTTCTAATTTCTCACAGTCTCATTAAAAATTGTAAATTCGCACGCTTCGTACGAATTGCGCAATATACGATAAGAATTCATAGTAATCGCTTATCGTAATCGTGTGTTGATATAGATAACTCTAAAATTAACAATCAATTGCGTGTACTTTTTTGCTCTCAGAACGATTCATGAAGGAAATATTTGCCTAACACGCTCGCGGAGCCTCGTATTGAGCGTCACTGTCGAACAATAACTTGGTGCTGTTGCGAGCTCTCAAAATGGCTGTCCTCAGCTATTATTACTTCGGGGAAAAAACAAATGACGACGCGCTCACGCTACGCGAAGAGGAGAGACAGAGCCAAGGCCCTCGGTATAACGTATCTTCGTGTGCTCGCGACTGTATGGGTGTCATATATAGATATATTCGCGTGCACACACCCGGCTGTCGTTTCTCTTTCTCCGTCTCTCTCTCCCTCTTTCTTTCGTCTTCGACATATCCTTGTGCACTACGGACCGTACCGAAAACATCGAGACACCTTACGTGTTTCCTGAAATTCAGTTTATCGAAGGCGATAATGTCCGCGATCCGCGTGAAAACAAAAACAAGCCTGTAAATAACGCGACCGTGCAATTCTTTCCTCTTTCTCTTCTCATGTATATATATTATATATATTGATCAATATATATACATATAATATGTATATATAATGTCTACATCTATATATGTATGAATAACTACTGGCACATAGTCGAAATTCAAAGGGAAAACGGTGATGAGCAAGAACGAGACACAATTAATATTGACAGTCTGACATTAGAAGTCTCATCAATTTGTATTCCTAATTCTTTTGTCAGAATGGAGTCAGAATGGACGGCAAAAAAAAAGGATCAGAAATTAGAAAAGAACACAATTGTATTTGGAGATTTAACTTTTGTGTCAGTTTAAATTTATGACCGTACGTTGTACTTTAATTTCAAACTAGAAATTTAAAATATTTTACAGAACTTTATGGATTCTCATTGTCATTTCTAAACTTTATACTTTTTCTCTAACAAAAATACATAGCAATCGTTTTTCTTAAAATAAAGAAAACATGACTAAAAAAGTAAACAATGATTAAAAGTATGACTCGTGCTTTAACATGCTTTCGTTTCCAGATGTTTCAGGGATATCTAAGCTATAACAATAGGGAATGATCTTTAAAATTTCAATATGGTCAATGCTCTATGCAGGTAGTCAATGCTCTAGCCTTTTAAAGATTTGTTCCCTCTTTTTCCTACTGATTTTTCGGCGAAAGCGTTAAGAATAACATTTTTGTCTGATGTCACATTGTCAATTTCTCCGCTTTTGTCGACAAAAATCACATTTTTAATATTTTTAAAGTGTTACACATAGACATTTATAGGCAACGTTTTTGTACTTTAAAGATACACCAAAATGAGATTTTAAAACTAATTAAGTTACGAGATATTCTACATAGATACTAAAAGATAGGAGAAATTCTATTTTTGACTTCTATACTTTAACTCTCTTCTCGATATTGAAAGCTTAAACCTTTGCAAACCAACTGTAATACGGCAAGACTATATAAAAATGATGAACATAAAAGAAAATTAGATCTGCAACTTGTGAAACAGAGAGTGCAATTTAGCAACGCTAAACTTAAAGTTGGAACATATATGTTCCATTGATCGCAAAAGGTTTAAGCGACTTCGAAGCAGCTATATGTGGCACTGCAGAGGTTCTCAAAACTCACCGTTTGAAATGCTCCCTGATGCGATCCTCTCGGATGTTTTCCGGCAGATTTCCAACCCACAGGTGACGTGTCTCTCTAACCATTTTGCTCCGAACTCTTCATTTGGGACCGGATGTTGTGGTATCGTTTGGAGGCACTGTACAACGACACACAACCTCGACCGGGAACGGTAATTCACTGCACACTCCACAAACACACAAATCGCGCAACTCTTCGGTCGATTAAAATGGACTGGCTCTCTTTCTCTCTCCTCTGCCGTTTTTGACTCGTCAGGAACTCAACACCCCTTGCTTCTTGTCTTCACTTTATCTCCGAACGATGGAGATCAATCGTAACACGTCCCCCTTTTTCCTCGCTCCGGCACTTCCAATTTGATCACTGTCGGGCAAACGGTTAATCACTAGTCACTGGCCGGCAAGAGGCAAGCCCAGCAGACACGACGGATGCTGTCGTCGAGGACGCGGCACGTCGGAGGGATGATCACACGTGCGTGCGTGGACACGGCAGCGCCGACGACAGCCGCGGCTGCGACGATCACGGAGACAACGACGGCGACGAGGATGTGGCTCTCGCGATCGAATTTCTGCGCCGCGACGTGTTCCGACGTCGACGTGGGAGAGGCGAAGGAGCAGGAGCCTTGATAGCGGTCACCACTGACGATAACGACTGCGAGGATCAATATCGTCGCCGAAGAACACCACATCGTATATCACTGAATCGCGTAAGGGGATACTTGCGGCTGCTTTCCTTTAATCACACGTCACACCACGACCACTTCCCGGCACTGCGAAGGATCCCCATCTGCACGGGCGATCCATCCCGGCATAACGTAATTCCTCGCGACGCACACGCGTTCGTGGCAACGCTATACGCGCGCTCCTTCTCGCCTCGTGGAGAGGCGCAAGCACGGCACGGCACGGCACGGCACGGCACAACACGACACCGAACACGACACGACGATGCAACGCGGCACAGCGTCACGGTGGACGCGTGCAAAGCGGAAATTCTCTCGTCACTCGCCTACGAGCTTCGGTCGCGCGCGCAGCGAGTGTGTGACCCACTGTTGATAACGCGAATCAATTCGAACGCGTCGTTTCCTCTTCCTCTCCTACCGCTCCTTTACTTCGCGTAACCTTTTGCGCGAAGCGACGGCACTCTTTTTTTTACCGTACACATATACACGTCTCTATGCGCGCTTACATTTAGATACACGCCCGTACACACGTATAACTACGTGCGACACGCATGGAGAGCGTATATACATAGCGTGTGCTCTAAATGTATTCACTTCAGGACAATTACTTTTTCCTCTTTCTTTCACATCACCACGTAGATCTTCCGTGATCCGACTATCGCGTACATACGCACGTATGCGAGAGTGCACACGTATATTATATTTATAGATACCGATATCTGTATATCACCACTCTCGCGCCTCGTCTCGAACTAAAAAGATCGAGCGGGCTTCGTAGAGACGACGCGATGGCGCGAACAACACCAAGTTACGTACGATTTCCGACTGCGTGTACGGCGTAAAACTCCCGTTGTCGCGCGAACGTATATGCGTGTATGCGCGCGACGATACCGAGACCACGATGTCCGGCCGGGTACATCGATACACACACGGAATTACGGCTTCCCAGTAGGGTACGCCTCGAAAACGCACTCGTTACTTACACTCGGGCTATGTAACGCAGACGGAGCTGGTTTTGGCTCCTTCTCACTGCACTACACTACTCGGAGTGACGTCACCGTGGCGGGAGCAAAGGGAGGCTCGCTGACTAGCACCACTGTCCTGACGTTTGGTGGGGAACCAAAGTAGGGGAGCGGAACGAGTCTACCTGGAGAGGCGGCAATCGCGATCGTCGCCCGCCAAGCGGTGAGGCCAAGCGACCGGTAGGAGAGGGAAATATGGCGCGCGCGCGCTTCTGCCTCAACCGTAGGGAGGGAGAGACGTGTTCGAATCGAGCAAGGACAGCGGTAGGGGCAACTCGGGACTCCGGTAGAGAGAAGGGATAACGGGTCGAACGAGCTAACCCGAACCCCCGAGCTGCGCTTGTCCCTTTCGCCCCGTAACCCCTTCACAACCCCTAGCCAGATCATGATGTTCTACCTGTCTCTCTCGCTCCTTCGTCACTCCGTTCTTTTTCCCCGCCGCTCCTACTCCGCGTAAGTCATCCGTCCTCTTCCTCTTGTACCATCACCACCGTCTCCATCGAGTCAAATCCCATCCGCTATCTTTGTCAGACGCTTTCCGCCCCTCTCTCTCTCTTTTTCTCATTCTCTCCCTCTCACTTCAATCCGCTCGCGCGCGTTTTCGCTCTCTCTTTCTTGCTTCAGGGCCGGTTTAGGGGCAGCCAATTACCCGGGGCATCGGTACTTTCTACCGAGAATAAAGACGGACAATCGGATTATTACGAAAATAAAAGTACTTAACTTCGTGACGTTCTCTCTAATCAAGTAACGATCAAACAAACGTGCCAGCTCGATAGCGCGTACGAATTAATGAGGCGTGGATAAGCGTTTTTCGCATAAACGGTATAAATTTCACGTGTCGCTCAAGGGATAAGCGTTCAGAACTCTTCGATATTTCCTATTTTTCCAAAAGATTTTTGAAATATGAATGAAATTCTGTGATAAAAATCCTGCTTGATGCAGTTCTTTTTGAGACGTGAAATTATTCAGTTTTTTAAATAATTAAACTTTAAAATTGTATTTTGCAACCATCTAATATGACATACAGATAGATTTAAAGTTTTCAAAGTTGTCGTACAACGCGCTTTTTTAATAAATCAACGAATAGAATATTTCTATTTCATTGAATTCTAAAGAATCCTACAATAGCTTCAAAGTATTCATCTAAAATGTGTAATATTTATGTTTTAAACCGAATATATTCATTCAAAAATGCATATTATGAGTAAATATTTAATATAAAAGCTTGAACAAATAAACTCATGGAAATAAATTCCTAATTATTTTTAGTTAAGTAATCGTAAAAATAACAAAAAGATCGTAGATGGAAGCAAATAAATTATTAAATAATTATTGCACGTTATATTCGATAGTTTCGATTTCATTTAAGTATAGTTTTTCTCTAACTAAGATGAATTACAAGCGTTACGTTAAAATATAGCGAGAATCTATGACTTATTGGGGGCGAACAACACGCTAGCTGCATGCCTGTGCCATGGCCATCTTGTTATCGCTGGGACCGTGTCCACGTACAGACGGACCGTTGTTATGTTCATACTTCGTGCGATCGTTGTCGCTTCTCAGACCGTCGTTGTACGTTCGTTGCATGCCGTACGTTACGCGACGTCGAGCCTGCAACGACACTAACGTCTGTTTGTGCGACCGCAGGACGTAGCTTGACTAGAGAAAGCGATTTCCGTTACGACCGAAAACGGACACGCCGTCGAACCTTTCGTTAATAGAAGCGTCGCGTCGTATAATTTTGACTAATTTGCGATCGTGTGTCCTGTGCGGGTGAATTTCGCGTAACTCTTTAATTATCATTAGTACTCAAACTAAACAATCGTACTGAGTTCAGATTTTGATGCAAAAATGATTCGTTTGTTCATAACAATAAAAATATTACAATTGGCATAAGATTTTTTTCCGCGTATCCGTCCATCAATTTTCTTTCAGAGCTTTTGTATTTTGAAGCTAAGATTGATAAAAATATATTGATTACATTGATGTTAATGTTTTCTTATTGGATTCATTTTATTATCTCAAATGTGAAGAGTGGTGTACCGAAAATAACGAAATTTATTATTATTTAATGTTATTAATATAATTCTACATTCGTTTTTGTCGTTCAATATAGTATTTGCTTAGCGCAGTGAAATCTATGTTCTGTATGGGATATTGCTCAAGTGTTACATCCTTTCTCACTTTTTTTCACTCGTAATAAAGAGGCACGTACGTTTTATCGAAAGCCTAACGAATATTATGTCTGAATAACGCAATAAATGTATAATTATAAATAAAATTTATGAGCACGCAATCATGTATTTAGATATTTTTCATTGGCTCAAACTTTGTGATATTTTTTATATCTTGTTAAGTGCTTGTTTTTTCCTGTTCTTTAATCTGTAACTATAAAAAGTAATCTTTAATAAAATACCTCTAATCAATGCAGATAAATGAAGAAGGCGCCGCGTATATGTGCAATAATCTCCTTGATTTCTCCGTTTCATCATTGATACAACTGTAATAAAAAATATGATATCAAGAAACATCTATTTTTTGTAATGTAATTTATTTTATTTCCTCGTATTCTCAGAGAAAATAAGAAATGCGTTCGTTTGTAAACTTTCATTTAATGATATATATCTCTATCGTTTAACGCTAATATGTGTGTGTCATCATTCCAATTTCGTTGCGATAATTTATTATCGTCACGATAATCTACTCATCACTTAGCATAATGGAAGTTGATAAAATTGGCAACGTCGTCTATCGGTAATCGAACAAACCTAAATTGAACGTAAGAAACGAGGACATTTAGAATACCGCGCCCGACATTAACAATCCAAATGATCGCTGTCACCGAATACACGACGCATGCACGTACGTTCACGGATGTTCCTAATCCGCGTGTAGATGTGCGTACATCTTAATTCATCGTGCGTACATCCGTATCGAGTCACGAAGACGACACAATTGGCTGTGGCAGCGGCTTAGCGATTTCGCTACAATTATCTTAGGTCTTGCGAGACGATTAATGATAGCAGTTATCGCATTGGATAAAGCTATTTCTTCGTTCGTCATTGGAACGCTTACTCTGCGTTCTTCGTGTCCGAAGGTTACGCGAGCGTAATGCACGAAACGAGATAAATCAAATGCAATAGCGTCGGCTGTTTCTTTCATGCTGAATGATAACGAGAAAATGTACGCGCTTTGATTGCTCAATATAATCATGCTTTAGATAGACATAATATAAATCTGATACAATTGAATTACCATGTTTTTTCTTCCGATTTTCCTCCTTTTACCCACTTCCATTTTTGCGTTGCAATTACATGAAGTTGCTGCAATTCGCTAATAGATGCGTCGTGACATCTCGCGATGCAATGTATTAATTATTAAATAAGATTGCTGATTACCAACAGTAAGTATTAACCACAGTCGGTACAAATGTGAACTAACCTAAATCTATTTGAATATGTAATAAAGAACAATATTGTAATTTTTTAAATGTTGAAATAGTTAAATTAATGAAACAAATTACTTAATATTGAAATAAAATTTAAAATATTTGAGTAGATAATAATAGTATAAGAGAGAAATAATTGAAATGGTCAATTAAATGTAATAATTTATTAACATAATTTCTCTCACTGTGATATGAAAAATAATATTAAAATATCAAAACAATAGAAATAAAATATTCCTTTTTTTCTTATTCTTCGTTCATTCTATATACTCAGATTACGCATATAAATTTTAATTTAAAAAATATCAATCTTTTCCGTTGACAAATAGTCTATTATAAAAATGCAATCCAAAATAGAACATTGTATATTTGAATATTTTTGTTGATTTTATCGTGAATTATATACCTTGTGTGACGCATACAAAACATCTGCATAGAAACACATTGTCATCTTATTCGTTTTAACTTGGTGACTAAATATTGAACAAACAAATACATAACCTACATTATAGAATGTTTACTGCTATCGTTGCAGCATTTTGCTTTTTCAGTGTATTTGATTATTTTAAATATATATTATTTATTATGGCTTAAAATCAAGACTTTTCGGAATTTTACCTGATTTATTTACGGCGTGTTTCTCACATTTATATTTGCGAAGTTTACAACACGAAGCATTCGCAGGAAGGGAATGAATAATGAATGACAAATATTCAGAGTTTGCGGAAGATGCTGAGGAGCCATCCATTACGTCGTCGGATGCAAACGAGCGGAAATTAGCACGTCGGATTCGTATTCAGCGGCGTCTAGAAGCGCTAACTAAGTAAGTACATTTTCTTCACATATTTGGTTAATTACATACATCGGCACAATTCCGAAAGATTTGTCAGTTTTGATTTTACATATATAATACCATTTATTTTTGTTTCCAGTACACAACATTTTATTAGTTTTTACTTCATTTTTAATTGTACTTTTTAAAATTATTTGTCTTTATTTTTTGTTAATTAGTATTATTAATTTATATTA